TTAAAATCTTGAGTAGTTCTGATTTTCACTTTCAAATCAGATAGGACTAGGTCGGGATTCTTACTTGGGTTTGGGATTGGAATGATTGTGGAAAGAAAGAAGAAAAGCAGAAAAAGTTGTGTCCTTAGGAGGAGAATGTTTTCTAGAAGTTTATACTCTAGTGATTGATTTTTGTGGGGTTAGCATGATATACAGAGAATAGTTCTGGGATGCTAAGAAAGAGAAAAAGTTTTGATGTCTTATAACGTAAGAAGAAAACAGAACCATAGTTAAGAAGAAATCCCCTATCCACTAGTATTGATAAGAAACTTCTCCTAAGGCAAAAAGAAAAAATGGGATTGATGTTGAAGGGTAGACATAGGGATCATCCGGGTTTAGATGATTAGGAGTAAGCACTTGGTAATCATTGGGTAGTCAAGGTTTTATTCCTGTATGCATTGGTTGGTCCTTACCTTTAGTATTGACTATCCACTAGTATTGATAAGAAACTTCTCCTAAGGCAAAAAGAAAAAAATGGGATTGATGTTGAAGGGTAGACATAGGGATCATCCAGGTTTAGATGATTAGGAGTAAGCACTTGGTAATCATTGGGTAGTCAAGGTTTTATTCTTGTATGCATTGGTTGGTCCTTACCTTTAGCATTCTCCCTAAAGCTCAATCCATTCATTAAGAGATCTTTGTCCTGAAATTGTTTAAACCCTCATGATTCTCAAAACCTTTTTCTGCCTAGCCAAGTGAGTTTGTTAAGCCTTGCACAACCAGATTCATATACTTGAGTAATGAATGTTAAAAGGAATGAATGATTTGAATGCATGTGTAAATCAAGGGATAGAATCAGTTTCGGATTTGATGAGTTTGTCTAAAGTCGTTAAGTAAAGTTCTCTCAGCATGCATCAAAGACTTAGCAACCAGGACATTGATTTTAACTGCTCTATCTTGCAAGTTACAGGTTCTGAGACCCCATTTTCAAACCTCTCTTCCACTTTGTTTCTTTTTGCTTTGCTTGAGGGCAAGCAAAGACTAAGTTTGGGGGAGTTGATAAGTCTGTATTTCATCGCTTTTTGAGCATGCATTCATCATCTTTTCAGCATCATTCACTTCTTGATTCGCATCATATTGATCCCTTTCTGCATGTTTTACATACTTAGGTAGGTTTTATGCATATCATGCATATCTTGCATACATTGTGCATATTTGGAGTATTTCAGGTACTTAGGAGACATGTAGAGCAAAGCAGAGGAACAAGCGTTACTCAACATGCACACGATCGAGTGGGACGATCGAGTGAGAAGCAAGGATGCGTTGCAGGAACATACTTCACTCGATTGACACGACCGAGTAGGATGATCGAGTAGGCAGCAGAGATACATTGCAATTACATCGACGATCGAGTGAGCAGCAGACGTATACGATCGAGTAGCTGATCGAGCAGAAGGGAAGCGAAGCAGAACCACCTGTCACTCGATGCACTCACTCGAGTGACATGATCGAGCAAAGCAAGGAAGTAGCTGATGGTTTCACAGGTCACTCGACACGATCACTCGAGGCACACGGTCGAGTATGAAATAATGCAGAGAAGAAATTAAGTGTTACTCGATACGCTCACTCGACCGACATGACCATTATAACTTTTAAACCGCTTTTACGTTGTCGTTTTATGTTTTAAGGTTTTCCCAAACATTGTTATAAATAGGTCTCATTTGGATCATCCAAGGGATCGAGTTTTTTATTAGGTTTTTGTTGTTAGCCACCAAACAATCCAGAAAATTGTAATTCATATTTCTTTTGAGTTATTGAGATTTTGCAACTAGTTATGAAATCATTGTTGTTACTCTTCCTATCATCCTTATTATTATGCATGTTTTGAACGATTCTTGTTTCATGATGTTTAACATGATTTCTGCGTCTAAGTAGTGTTAGGGTTCTTGAGGATGGGATAGATTAGGTGGAGGATGTTAGTTTGCTAGAGTGTTTTTGTTAGATTCGTTTTGTTTCCCTTCTAGACTAGATTTTTATTAGCTAGTTCTTCTCTGATCAATTGGAACTGGGTCATAGACATTTCATACCCGAAAGTTATATGATGAAATGTCTGAACCAACTAGTGCCAGAGATTTACATGCTTAGCCCAAGAGATTGGTTGTCTTAGATGTTTATTGACATTAATGAGCTGTTTCTTTATGCTTGTTTACTACATGTTTCATCAATGAGAATTGAGATTAGGAAGTGTTGTAAACTTGATATTTTCTGCCAAGAGATTGGATTGACTAGTATTAGAAGTTCATTGTCTAGGGATTAGAATGTTTGCAGTTTGATAAACACTCGAAGTAGATTAGCATACTCCACCTACATCAATAACCTCATCCTCGGGATCTTCTATCCATTTGTGCTTTCTGTTTAATTCTCTTGTTATTTACTTGGTCTGCTTTGTTTTCTTGCCGTTATCAATAATCGTTACAGTTTAGTTTATGCATGGTAGTCTATGTTTTACAGTTTTACATTTATCTCATGTTTAACATGTTCGCTTAGGATTACTGAAAACCAAAAATCATTTATGCTTGCTTCACTTAATCATTTCTGATATATCTTGATTGCTAGCATCACACCTGATTGGATTGATACCTATTGTACTGCAATGACATGATAGTACTATAGGGTAATTGATAGAAAAATCCTAGTATCACCTAGGTTTAGCGCCGCCGCTGGTTCATTTTCGTTTTCTCAGTTTTGCCTCTCCGGCGGCCATCTCGGCGCTGTGAGAGGGCTCTCTAGATAACCTTTCTCTTGTTTTTCAGTTAGCCTTTGAGATCTTGGTGTGCGAATTGGTTTGGTGGTGTTTAAGACTTTGTGATGGTGATTTTGAGGCTTCGTTCTAGTGCCGGCGTATCTCGTAGACGGTGAGACTCGCCGTTTCTGTGCCTCCTCTCCCAATTTCATTCGTCTTCCCCGTTCCTGGAGTAAGCGACCGTGTTTCTCTTCCATATTTGGCCTTTGTTTGTTGTCAGATTGCTGGGTTAGTTTGCCTTAGTTGCTTCAGTTGGTTTGTTTGCTGGGTTAGTTTGCTTCAATTGATTAGTTTGTTTCAGCTTTTTAAGGACTTCTTTCTAGACGGTTTCTTGTTGCGTCATCGTCGCATCCGGAAGCTTTTTCGAGTCTTGCTTGCCGGGTTATGAAGTCTTTGGGTATGGTTTCGAGAGATTGGCTCTCATCTTGAAAGGAGGTGGTTGATGTTATCTTTGGATTGGCCGTAGGTAGGCCTGAGACTTCGGTATATTCAGACATTTCGGTTTCGGTTTTTCGGTTACTCGGTTATCTCGAAAACTGAAAGCTATTTCGAACTAAACCGAATACAATTTCGGTTCTGTTCGGACACGGTTATTTCGGTTATTGCTACTCGGTTATTTTGGTTTTATAATTTTGGGCCAAACATATTTTTTAAAGAATGGTCATGTGTTTTTGGCCTTTTGGGCTTACAGAAAATGGCCTGTTAACACACAAAAAAAAAGAAGAAAAAAAAAGTAAAATGCTGATTTTTGTCTCGTGAGAATGTGAGCAGTCGATGACAAAAAAAAAGAGAATGTGAGCAGTCTCGACGCGTGAAGGCAACGACGGTGAGATCTCAAATTCAAAGCTCACGGTTTAAAAGAAGGGTGGAACGAAGGAGAAGAAGAAGATGATGAGATGATTAAATAAAAAAAAGATGATGAATCGAGGAAGAAGATGAAGAAGAAGAGGATGATAAAGTAGAAGAAGAAGAAGAAGAAGAGGATAGTGAAGAATGAAGATGGCTATTAGGAAGTAAAGAAGAAAATTAGTGATTGAAGAAGGAGAGAATGATGATGATGATGCATCAAAGAAGAAAACAAAATGAAGAAGAATCGAAGAATAATACAAGAAGGGTATCAAGAGCGGCTACTTAAGAAAATTAGATTAGGGTTTTCTTTTATTCGGTTAACCGATCGGTTCGAGTGAACCGAACCGAAATTCTCGGTTAACCGAACTAAATTTGAAAGTATTCCGATCGGTTATGATCAATTAGTATGAACCGAACCGATTTGTCCAAATCTCGGTTCGATTCGGTTCGGACAAATCGGTTCGGTTCGAATTCCCAGGCCTAGCCGTAGGCATCCTTATTAAATCTCTTCTACAGGAGCTTCAGAAGAAGAGCTCTTCATGCTTCTTTAAGACTATTGTATCACCTTGGGTTAAGCCTAATTGCCTTCTTCTTTGTTTAAGGGTTCGTCCTCTTTCGGAGTGTAATTATTCTGCTTTGTTCTGTTCTCTTTTGGTTTTATTTTATGTTTCCGAGGATTTCTATTAGTTCGCCGGCTTTGTTTCCCTCTTTTGGACTTTTAGACTTCCGAGATATCTAAAAGAAAACAAACTTTGCAGGTCATACATTTATAGTTCAAAAAAGCTCCCAAGCGATATTATCGAGACATTATTCCCACTTCCCACTTCCGGCGCCGGTGGAGCTGTAGCTCGCCGGCGTCCGGATAAACTTCTTCTACTCCGATTTTTCTGCAGTCTTTTTAGCCCTTTCTGTAATCTTTTAGCTTTTTTAACCCTTGTTATGCTCTTGTTAATCTTTTCAACTCTTCCCCAAATCCTTTTTTCAACCCTTTCCATGTTAGAATCCAGATCTGGTCCATGCTTTCATCTCCCAGCCGGTTCTACACCTCCTGCCGCCTGTGGTTTCCACACACTCTATTTAAAGTCAACTTTTGCATCTCAAGTCTCCTATCAAAGGGAGAACGCTCCCCCCACCAAGTGCTCAACTTGGCTGCGGCAGGCCCGGAGCTCTGCGTTGACGCCGGAGACTGGAGAGTTCACAGCGACAGAAGCAACTGACCTTCCATCCTTTTTGACAGATCTGATAGCATGTGTACTGACGATGGAAGACTCAATCCCTGCAGCCCATTCTTCATCTTTATCATCTATGGTTCGTCTAGATTGTGTACCTGAAAATCTCATCCCCGATCTGCCGCAGCTTTTGGTGGTGAAGAGAGGTTCCAAAAGTCAAACCCTAGTGCTGACTTCCACTACTGTTGGGCTTAGTCCAGAAGTTCTCTTCCCTCTTTTCAGCCCATTAACCAAACTACCAAAGGCCATGAAGACTTTAGCTGACTTCAGCCCATCTCTTCTAAGGCCCAGTTCTGCTCTTATTTGTAATTTGGCAAGTTCTTTAATAAAATTAGTCTCATTTACGGAGAATAGAGTTTATTCCTCTAGGATAAGTATGATGGAGTTAGCTTGGACTTGTCTTTCTCTCTCACGATACCTGGCGGATAGTTTAAACCTTTTTGGTTCCGATACAAGTCTGATCTTGAAGCAGTGTAGAGCTCTTCAAGTTCTATCGACCCTTCCCGTATTAGTTCCTTATGTCTCTGTTTTGACTGGCCGTCGACACCACGATAGCAGAGCAAAAGACTTTTTAGGCTGGTTAGATAGTTATTCTTGTCAAGGTCAGATAGAAAATTGTTATCGAAACCCTCCCAGTCCCTTTTACCACCAATCGTCTAAAGGTTTGAAGCTTGGTTCTTGTTTAATCTTTCTTTGCCTAAATGGCTACAAGCTTTGTGTGGAATCCCTTAATCTCCATGGTCAAGTACTTCATGTGAGAGAGGATCCACCTGCTCTATTACAGTTTTGCAAATATCACTCCCGAACCCTTGTTGTAGCTTCATCCAGTGTCTTGAGAATGGATCCTAAACGACTAAAGGTCTCGGACCTACTGCTCCTTTACCTTCTCATGCCGGCGAGAAACCCAACCTGGCCTTCCTCTTCAACGTCACTTTGTCTGATGACAGTGACCTCTTTGTCGTCCTTTGCTTCGCTTATTGACGACCATTCGACAAACCGTGACCTCACATGTGACATAATGCTTCACCGCCTTTGTTTCAAAGTTCTCATGGACTCTTTGTCGTTTTACCGTATTTATCTTATTCTATTTTTTGAGAATGTCTCCTTTAGCTACCTTTTAAGCTTTGTGATATTCGAATCACTTATTGTACTTGGTTGATTTGATGAAATGAAAACAAGTCTTTGACCAAAAAAAAAAAGACTTCGGAGATATCTTTGTTTTCCGCCGGGTTAAGTTGTTGTTTACAATGTATCTTCCAATTTTATCAATATAATACAATGAGACAAAAAAAAACAAAAAAAAAAAAAATTCTACCAACTTTAAACAGTGTAGGTGGGAAAAAAGATAAAAAAAAAGTCGATTTGGCTACTTAATTTTTAAGCTTTTTCCCGTTGTAAAGAGGCCCATTTATTTCGTCAGAAACCGATGAAATTTTAGTTGAAAAAGCCCATTTGCTTCGTAAAAACCGGTAAGCATAATACAAACCGGTCGAGACAAAACAGTCAAGAAGAACCAAGAATGAAACTGAAATAGAGATTCCGGTTAACAATCCGGTCCAGAAAGCAAAATAAACACAGTAACAATCGAACCGGGGGACTCCATTATCAAAGTTTTTCTTAAGGTGGTCTCTCCTCCTCCTCCTCTCTATTGTTCTTTCCCCAGAACCCTAATCATCATCCCCAGATTCGCAATTCATCGTACCCAAAATCGACGAAAGGCACCACCTTTCTAAAATCAATGGATCATCAGAATTACCCATATCAAAACCCTTTCGAGAGACGTCCCATCCTTAAATCCAAAGCTCCTGCTGTGAAGTGGATCAAAGAGTGGTAATTTTCTCTGATCCTTTCACTTTTTAGATGGGTGTGTTCGATTTTACGGATTCTTAATGTTAACGCTTTGTTTAGGGTACCACAAGACATTGTTGCTACAGGTGGGAAGTGTTATCTACATAAATGGGTTACAGGTGAGATTGATTTGAGAAATTGTGATAATTTTGATGTTTGGGATGTAATATGTTTATGTTTTGTGTTGTTGGTACAGAGGATACTTTGAAGAAACTTAAAGAAAAAGAGAAAGAGCCTGATGTTCCAGAGCCTGAGCCTGAACCAACTACAGAGATTTTGTTTCTTTGTAGTTATGAAGGATGTGGGAAGACCTTCTTTGATGTCAGTGCTTTAAGAAAACATTCCCACATTCATGGAGAAAGGCAATATGTTTGTGATCATGCTGGATGTGGAAAGGTAGGATCTTTTAGTTGGGTTTTGTCATCTGCTTAAACATTCACTTTCATGATATATCAAGCCAATCTTATTTTGTGGGTCTGTGACAGAAATTTCTGGATAGTTCAAAGTTGAAGAGACATTATCTTATTCATACTGGAGAGAGGGCTTTTGTATGTACTTATGAAGGCTGTGGAAAGGTGATTGATTCTATTTCACTTAGTAGCTTAGTTTGTTTGAATATGAATGCTATTAGGCAAGAAATTGTGTTATGTGCTATAGTAAGTTTAATATTTATTCTCATGCGGTACACTTACTATACGTAGATGATGGATGCAGGCATTCTCCTTGGATTTTAATCTCAGATCTCACATGAAGACTCATTCACAAGAAAATTATCATCTCTGTCCATACAGTGGGTGTGGAAAGAGATATGCTCATGAATACAAGTTAAAGAACCACGTTGCTAACTACCATGAAAAGGTATCACTACTCATTCAATATATTGTCATGAGAAAGTTTTGTTTTTACTTGTGTTAAGACAGAGCGCTCCTTAAGTCAGGGTCTGTCAGACTTTAGGGGGAATTGTGTTGCTTTGTGACATCAATTTTATTTCTTTGGAATCCTGTATGTCTTTATATATGCGTCGGTGTAGTTTTTCTTTGCTAGTGGTGGGCGTAACTATTCTTTTCAAGGCGTTAGTGATCTCACTCGATTATAACTTTCTTTCTGGAACATAGAATTCTAATTGACTATAAGTTGCATGATTAGAATTCACATTGTATTAATAGGTTGAAGTTGCAGAATCTAACAGTTCTTTAGATTCGATGATTCTGGTGTCAGAAGTTTTCACTGTTAACACTTAAAGTGCACTATGTCAACGTATAGGCAGAACAATGCATTTGTTCTTTCATGATTATTCCCTTATGTATTCATATTAGCAACCATCTTAGAACTTATCTCTCTCAATTTCTCAACCGGTTTAACAGAATGGTGCTGGAGAGACGCCCAAATATACTCCACCGGCAGAGAAAGTATCAAGGACTGTCAAAACACCTGCAGCAGTTTATACTGCATCTTTGGATCGACCATACGCATGCCCATATGAAGGGTGTGAGAAAGCTTACATACATGAGTACAAGCTTAAGCTCCACTTGAAGAGAGAGCATCCAGGGCATTTACAAGAAGAGAACACGGAGAACCCCACACTGATGAAGCACAACGGCAATGACAGGAATGATATGGATAATGGGAGTGATCAAGATGTTTACAGGAAACATGCTATTAACGGGAAAAGCCAGACCCATAAACAACAGAGCAGAGCTAAGCCAAACATGAGGACACCACCAACCAAAGCTGGAAAGAAAGGCTCAACCTCTTCGCCTGCCAAAGTGAGGATTGCAAATATACCATGGCAAGCAAAAGAAACTTTTGAAGAAGTACAAAGAGAAGAAGAAGAAGATAGCGAGGAGACTGAGGAAGATAGAGAGAATGTGGATGATGGCTGGAGGTTTGGCGAAAACAACGAGGAGGATGACGATGAAGAGACAGAGTATGAAGACTAGCTTAAATTACGTCCAAGTCATAGGATAAATTTCGACTATATGCTTTGGTGACTTTAGTAGCTTTGTTTTGTCTCTCTTATACTCTTCTTAATTTGAAAGCATTGTATAGTCTTCTATTAAATTTTTTGGAAAGCTCTTCTTTTGTTTTGATCAATTATTGCAATGCTATCCCTATAGGGAAAATTCCATAAAAATTCCCCATCTAATTTTAATTTGGAAGTTTAATACCCAATGTTATTTGATTGGAAACAAAATGCATGGTTTATTAATTTGTTGTCTATTAATACATCAAGTATATAAAAATTGTCGAATCGTAGAAACCGCTTAAGAACCGATAATCGGATTGACGGAATCACTAAACCGGAGTTAATGGAATTACACTAAACTTAGAGTTTATCGATCCCAATTCGATTTGAGGTAATAGCAAAGGACAATGTAGCCTTTGGATAACCCCAAAAATTTCATGATAAGACCCATATAAAATCCCAATAGGGTCCAATCTATTACTTCAAACCAAACTAAACCAGACAAAAAACAAAGCCGATCCGGTTTCAGTAGACCAAAATTAACTGGTCTTCACCAATCTACAATCGTAAAACACGACACAGCCGTCGTCCAAAAACTGCAGACGCACGCTAGAACAGGTCCTACTGTGTGCCTGGACGACGCAGATCGAACGGAGTAGGTGATCCAAGATCTGTTTGCCTCTCCGCCACACTAGAGAAGCTTTGAGGAGGAAAAAGAAACCGAGCCGTACTCATCGAGAAGATTTCGAGCTCCGCCATAAGTTTGAAGCCCCGTAGGGAGTAGATCTAGGTTCCGTGGGCAGTGCTTTAGTTTCATCCGGCCAAAGTCAGCCTCCCAAATCGAACGGCGGCCACAAAAACCTCCAGAATTGCCAATCCCTAGATCTAAGCGTCTTCTCCCTCAGTCATCACCTAGAAGTCTTCCTCTTCCACTCTCCGCTGCCTCACCGTCGAAGAGCTCGTCAAAAGTGACTCGCAGAAGCTTGCCCTCTTTCCATCTCCCTTGATTTTTTTAGATGGTGAAGTAGAAGATCGCAGATGAAGCGCCATGGACCATGGGTTTCTCATCAACGCCGGAATGGCCAGAGAAACCCTTCACTCGGTGCAAAGGATTGCGATCAGAAGAGAAAACGGAGGAGAGAGGAGAGAGCGGCGAGTAGATCTCACGCGCTCTCCTCTTCTTGTTTTTAATGACATTCTCTTTCTCAATTTTTTTTTCTCTTTCTTCTTTATCTCAAATCTTTAAAATTGCAATACATCACAATTTTTTCATCCAAATAATATTTCTAACGAGTGCAATCATATTACAAATTTTTCATCCAAATTAACAAATCATATATATTTCCTATAAAATCATATGAAGTGCAATCAAAATTTTTAAAAAGAAATTCCAATAAATAATTTTATGTTTTAATCTCTTTCTATATTCCTCTTAATTTAAGTTATATCGCTAGGTTTTTTTTTTTCATCCTTGTAGTATAATAGATAGAAAATTGAATATCAAACTGTTTTTAGATAGAAAATAATGTATAAAATTAAAAGTTAATAAAAAATTATAATGATCTTATATTATTAAATGTTGAATCACAAACTAGATATAATGATCATTATTCTTAAAATGAATGATTACAATTTTTTTGGAAGTAAGAGATTGTTAAGAAAAATTGATTTCATAATTTTATAAGAAAATTTTCTTTGTTAAAAAATTACATATTTTTGAAAATAAACTAAATATACATGAATATGTGAAAAAGAAATAAACATACAAAGTAAAAGAATGAATATTGTTTCTTTAGCTTGATTTTCTTATTATGCAATGGTCGGGAATCAATATTTTTGAATTCCATAAATCAAATAATTTTCTTATAGCCATAAAATATTATTATACATATGTATTTTACATTTAAAATATATTAAAAAATGAAGAAATGAAATAATACATAAAAACAAAGAAGATATAAAATTGAAAACAAAATTTTAAGCCAAATAATTAATCAAACTCTTACTCTTCATGCATCTCTAGTGCTTGTAATTAATCAAATTCATCGTATTCTAACATACTCTAACCCCTAACCACACTAGACAAGCCATTTAGATATCTTAATTTAGTTTTCATCCCATGCAAGAACTTTAAAAAAAAAAACAAAGAAAATAATTAAGACTAGATTTTACCCCGTGGTACACCACGGGGCTAATATTTTATGCATCTCTGTTAAATAGAACCATTTAGTTTATAGTTTACATATACGTACGGTTATATATAAAGTTTGGTTAGATTATCCTAGTTGGACCAAGTAAAAAAGTGTATCCTTTGTGGTATATATATAGCAGAATATGATACATTTAATCGCACGTACGTGTGGGGTTATTTATATGTGTTATAAACCCTTTACACGTACTTTTTAAAAACTTTATAAACCCTTTTAAAAACCTTATAAATCCTTTTAAATTTTAAAAACCTTTTTCGCACGTACCTTTTAAAAACCTTATAAACCCTTATTCGCACGTACCTTTTAAAATCTTTATAAACCCTTATTCGCACGTACCTTTTAAAAACCTTATTTGCACGTATCTTTTAAAAACCTTATAAACCCTTTTAAAAACCCTTTAAAATATTTTAAAATATTTGTATCGAATCTCCCAGTAGTAGTTATTATATAGAAGTACCTAACAAATTATATAAAACTTTATAGTTTTTTATATTTAAACATGAGTATTTTTGAAAATGGATAGATAAAGGGGTATTTTAAAAAAGGGACACACCAAAATAGATATTTCTCAAAAATTCTCATAAAGAATTATAAGTATATTTATTAATGAAAATCCCGTATTGCTCAAGTATATAAATAATTAATAGTAATTGTTACTGAATTTTATGTGGATTAAATTAGAAATACCTTTAACTATGTGTAATTTTAATAGAAATTGTATTATTATTAAGATAAGCTTTGTAAAAGATTTATATGTAAAAAAACATATATTAAGTTACTAATCCACATGATTCGACCCAAAAAGAAAAGTTACTAACCCACATTTACTAAGAAAAGTGACTATCCCACAGTAAAAAAATAACAACCAGGAAATTAGTTCGAGTTAAGTGTAATTTTTTTTTTTCAAACTGAATAACTTTTGGTTAGTATATAATTGTGGAAGTATGGTAAATTTAATCAAAAGTTACAATTAAATACAAAATAATGGTTTATTAAATTTTCCAAAAAAAGGAAAAAGACAAAAAGATCAAAAGAAATAATAATAAAAAGATGGGAAACTACACTTCATGTACCTTGTTGACTGATTAATTAAGTATCTAGCATCCCAAAATCTTTATTTAGCTCCTTTTTTTATCTAGACTGTTTTAACCCTATACTTACTCTAAAAACCTAAGATATTTTTTCAGTTAAAGAATCCAGAACAAGATCTATGAGCATGATTATATCTAGACTCAAAAAAAAAAAAAAAAATAAATAAAAAGGGTTTAAAATTGAATCGTGGTTTCCATCACCCAATAAAGTTATCATTTGCAATGTTTTTATTTGTATATTAGGTTTCTGGGTTTTTCTCTCAAATCTCAACTGTTTTTCCATATCAATCTATCTGAGTAACCAATTAATAAATAATTTATCCCATTCCTCATATCTTATCCGATAACAATTTAAATTACCAAAGGGTATACTTTTAACATCACCAATCTATACATAAATGTGTGGGGTTAAGACGTGTGTTTTGTTGGTTCTGGTTTGGTTTCATATTGTGTTGTTTATAATAATGATTGGGTTGAGTAGTTTGTGACCTAGGGTATAGTTTTGATATAAATTGTAAGTTAGTAGTTAATAAATACTTTATCCGTTTCCTAATAACTTATCGGATAACAAATTTTATCACCAAATATTATACTTTTATCATCACCAATGTATACATATATGGTAGGGATTATTGAATGGGTCTGGTTATGGTTAGTTTTCATATCATGTGGTTTATATTATTGTTTGGGTTGACTGATTTCTGAACTAGAGTATAGTTTTGTTATAAATAGTTAGTTAGCACTTAATAAATACTTTATCTCATCCCTCGTAAATTATCAGATAACAATTTATATCACCAAGGGTTATACTTTAACATCGGTTAAGATGTGTGTCTTATTTTGGTTTTGTATTGGTTTCACAGTCTGTCGTTTATATTAATGGTTGGGTTGACTTGTTTGTGACATAGGGTATAGATTCGATATAAAATGTAAGTTAGTAGTTAATACGTAATTTATCTGATTTCTTATAACTTATCAGATAACCATTAATATCCACAAACAATTTATATCCCCAAATTGGTATATATGCGTTGGTTTACCTATTTGTGGCATATGGTAAATCTTATGTATAATATGTTAGTTAGTAGATAAGTATATTTTAGAGTTTGTAATTAAACGAAATTATATTTTCGTTTGGGTTGATAAAATAGTGGTTAGGGTTTAGATTTTGTAATTAAACAAAATTATATTTCCATTTGGAGATCATCAATACATAGATAATGGGAAATATATCCGATAATTGAGATTTATCGGGACTTTTAATTTAGTAGGTGGTTAGATGAGTATAAATAGGATGAGTTAAGTTATATGTTAGCATCTAAAATATATAAAATCGACTACTTATTTAATTATCATGTTTCCACAATTTAATGTTTCTGGTTAACTGTTTGTAACTTTGCGTGTGAAGGATGTTACTATACACTGCAAATGTGTCAGAGATTTAGCAGAGAATATATAAAATGCAGGCTACTAGCCTACTATCCTTCTTTAACATAAAAGATTTTTTTTTCTTTTTTAAAAATGAAAATAGGGAGTGACTTGTAACTTTGCATAGGCCTGGTATGAAAAACTAATTTTCTTTTTATCAGGGCCATACTTTTTGTTTTCCCTTTAACTGAGCACTAATATTTAACTCACCCTAAAAAGATTAGAATGTATTATTATGTACCTTATTCTTTTTATTTTTTGTTATTTTGTTCCTTGATTTTAATAAGATGTGACGACAAAAAAAAAGAGAAGAGATTTTTATCTAGTTAGTAAAAAAATAAAATTCACATGTTCAGCCAAAAAGGTATCGATCCTTTTCTACTATTTTCTTCTTCACTTTGACGATGTCAAAACCAATTCGACAATTGACTGCAACAATCATCAACCTCTACTCTCTCTACTCTTTAATTATATCACTTAAAGCAAAAGCCCTAAATTTTATAGATCCATCAATTGCTCTTTTCACGGTAATTTTTGTTGTCTTATCTCCATTCTGATTCTATATATGTTTAGCCGAGTGAGTTAATTTTCACCCAAATTATATAAAACTTAACTTTCTGTAGCATCAGTGGCCTAATTTGTTCTGTCTCTCCTTTGCAATTATAATCCAGCTTTGTATACGCGGTTCGGAGTTGATTGAACCCTTAGTTAATCATTTAAAAGTTCTTGAAGCAGAAGCTTCACCTGTTGTTCAATTCTCTATTAGATTGGAGATTGAGAAAAGCAACACTTGGTTCACTAAAAAAAACATTAGAAAGGTTTGTAACTGAGAATTCAAAGATCATTTTTGTTTATTTTTTTGTATACTAATATATTATCATCCACCATTTGTCTCTCTCAGATTTGTTCAGTTTGTAAGTTCTGGAAAAGGTCAATACATATTATTCCGAGATGTCACCTTTGGAAGCAGCTCGGACATTATATTCACAGGTTGTCAGCACTATTTTCAAACTTCAACTTTTGTTGAGATTCTTGACCGACCTTTACTAATTTTTGTTGTTGTCTTTCTTCGTTCTTAAAGCGGAGCGAAGACTCAAAGTCTGGTTCATCAGGTGTGTGTGATTTCACTGTTGATACTTTACTTATGGTTTTCTTTTTTTTTTTGTTCTTTTTTCAACTCCGGAGAACATTGATCTTGAACATATATTTGAATCATATTTTCTTTGGTTTCTCAGATGATGGAGCCGCAGCAGATGCCACCAAGTAAAACTTCTCTACCTTTATTAAGTTCTTTGTGTGTTCAAAGAGTTTATTAGTTACTTTTTCTTCTCTATATTCAGGAAGGAGCTCTTAAGGGCTATAGAGCTAAGACTTGAAGATATTAAAAAGGACTTAACAATGTCCATTTCTCATGCATCAGCTAGCGGTTTTGACCCTCATACTGTTTCCGAAGTCAAAATTTGCTGATAAATTTGGGGTAAGCCTTTTGTTGTTTTCTACTTTTCATTTGACTAAAAAGTTTCTTCATGTTTTGTTGTTTGATCTAATTGGAGTATGTCTTTCAGTGAAGCATGCAGAAAATATTTCTGACTATGGAAGAAAAGGCCAGACTCGATGGATATGAAGCACTCAAATAATCTGGCTAGTGTTGATAATGTTAGTCTTGAAAAAGATGGCACGCGCCAGAAGAAACAGAACATCAGATGCAACAGTGTGCTATAGCAAAAGGAATTCAGAGGAGAAAACTGTTGAGAGTTTGGATGTAACCTCTTCTACAGATTGCATGTAACGCCAGGCCTTCTGTTTTTGTATGAACACATTGATTACAATCCCAAATCGAAACTGCGGTATACACAAAGGTAAGAGAAACTATGTGTTTATCATGTAATATTGATCGATCCTAAAAAACGGTAAATTTGGAATTTGATTCAATATATGGTTTTCAACACAACGGTGAGTGTTACTTACCCCTTTCACTTCCTCAATTATTTGCAGAAGAGAAATGTCGATGGTTTTGAGGTTGGTTATGTTCTTCTCTACTTGTTGGTAAGTTGATAGCCTAATCAAAAAGTTCATCATAATTCAGCTGCCTGAAAAGATAAAAAGAAAACCAATTCAGCAAACGCACATCCAAGGTACACATAAATCACTCTCTCTCTCTCATTACCATAGAGAGAAGTATATATTAGTTCAGTATCATAAAATGAAAACAAATCTAGATTATAATATTGGAGTTAATTAAACTCACTTTTAATTTCTCAATTCGAAACCAAGCTTATTTTCTGGCTTGTTGTTCAAGCCATGCATTTGCACCTCCCCAATATTAACACTTTGGCCCAACACATCACCGATGCGTGAATCTTGCAACCCTGAAATAAACAACTCATGTATTATGGACTAACAAAACATAAATCGATATGTGAAGAGATGAGTATATGGACTAACCTTATCGTTTTGTCGTCAGAGACAATCAACTCTAAGGTCTCTCCAGTCATGCTCGTGTATTGTCGCCAAAAGTGAAGGTCTTTAACATGGACTCCCCATGCTGTCTTGTAAGGGCGTAGTGTATGTAGAGATGCAGTCGAGTGTGGTGAGCTTGTAAAGGTGAAGCGGCGAATATATATAATATAGGGTACATAGTTTAGGGTTTTAACTTATTTTACAACTTGTGTATCACGTTGTAATTATTTCGTTTGTGTTTTTGGAAAGCAAAATTCGAAATAATAGAAAGGAAAACTATATCAGCAGATTTGATTGGAATATACCCCTAACTTTATGCGTTAATCTTAATATAGGTTGGAAATCTCCTAATCTATATTAATATTGTTTCCCGGAATAGACTAAAAAATCGTAGATTACGTGATTCTGAAAGTAATACTTTGCAAAAGTATTGAATAAGGGGAGGTGTTTTCGTATAAAATTATGATTGTGTGTTTGAAAAATGAAATGATTACGCCAATTGGTAAGCATTCAGTGGCTTAAGTTATAGAAGGAAATAAAATAAGAAGCGACATCGTTTGTGTATCTCTTTGTCATAAAGATAGATTGTAAATAAAAGATCCAATTTGTTCAATCGGGTTTTATTTAGGAAATTGTAAACCGACCCGTTTGTTGAATTGTCTACTCTATCCTTAATGAAATTTCTTAAGCTAATGTTTTAAGGAGGGTAGTTTTAGTAAAAAGAGCATTGTCAACAGATGGTCAAAAAAAGTTGCAAAAATAATAAGATATATGAGATATAGTAGAGGAGAATGTGAGAATGGTTATTTATAGGATAAGAAGTGATGTAAGTTACATTTTAAAAATAATTAAATTAGAAGAGTCATAATTATAATTTATAGTGTGTTTAATTGAATTTCAATAAAGAAAACCAATAGTCAAATGAAAATTTATATAATTTTCAGTTACATTTTAGTAGTACAGTGTGAATTTAATGTATAAATTAATGTATATGATTAAATGTGTTTTTTGGTTTAATTAAAAATAAATATTATATCTTAAAAAAATTAAATACCAATTAGACCAATAAAAATCAAAGTTAATAAAATTATAATGATCAATATATTATTAAATGTTGAATCACAAACTAAATATAATGATTATTTCTAAAAATATACATGAATATGTGAGAAAAAAACAAACATCTAAAGTTAAAGCATGAAGATGGTTTTTTAGCTTGATTTTCTCATAGTGCAATGGTCAGGAATCAATATTTTTGAATTCCATAAATAAAATAATTTTCTTATAGCCATAAAATATTTTTATACATATGTATTATACATTTAAAAATATTAAAAAAAAACAATGAAGAAATGAAGAAATAAATTAAAACAAAGAAGAAATAAAATTGAAAACAAAAGTTTAAACCAAATATTTAATCAAACTCTTACAATAACATCTTAATTGAGTTTTCACCCCATGCAAGAAATTTTTTAAAAAAACAAAAAAAAAATAATGAAGATATGAGATATGGTGGAGGAAGATGTGAGAATGGTTATTTATAGGATAAGAAGTGATGTAAGTTATATTTTTCAAATAATTAAATTAGAGGAGTCATAATTATCATATAAATAGTTTTTGAAAATTTATATAATTTTCAGTTACACTTTAGTAGTAAAGTGTGGATTTAAAGTATGAATTAATATATATGATTAAATGTGTTCTTTGGTTTAATTAAAAATAAATATTATATTTTTAAAAATTAAATATCAAATGGACTAATGAGGAGAGATATTACTATAGTTCTACTTTTATGTGTCAAAAAGTGTTAAAATCCTTATTCCGTTATCAAAATATGAAATATATGTATAAATAAATAAGAGCAAAATCAAATCATATATATAAAAGTAAGGTTTCACTTTCTCCTAATTGGTCCATTTGGTATTTACTTTTTTAATATTTAAATATTTATTTTTAATTAAACCAAAATTGCAACACAATTAATCATATACATTAATTCATACTTTTAACCCGCGCATAAATAAGCTTATCTTATTTTGGATCCCTTGTTCTTGACTTTCTACTTTTTGACGAACAGGTGTATAACGTTTCATATTTACTGTATGATTTTTATATGATTTCATATATATATATATATATATTATTCATATTAAACAAAAATATCCATATTGCAGTCTACTTTAATCCAAGTTACTATACTCTATTACCGAGTTTTCTGATTTAGAGATGATCTTCACGAGGCCACCGTTTACATTATATCAGAATTACAAATGGATACTAGCTACCATAAATATAAACTTACAGATCATCCCTATGTTATTAAACGTACAAACTACAGTAATGAATATTGTGAGCATGTACCCCCATCTAAAACAGCAACAAGACAAACCAAAAAGACCCGAACTGTTGACAACAATTAATATATTTAACTCAAACTTTCACTTATCTCTTTCAATTGGTTTTCCATAATTTTATTCAATGACTCTTTCTCGGAATTGATCTTTCTTTCCAATTTGTCAAAGTTACTCTATCATTTTAAAACTTATCAAATAATATGAGGCATAAATAATATACCTTTGCTCTAGCTTGCCCACAAAAAAAAATTTACCATTTCGGTGGAAACATTTTGCTTCCCATTTTCGGAGAAGACGGCAACACACAGTATGAAGGTCACCGCCAATTTGTAGTGGTATGTGGAAGATAAAGTAAAATAAAGAGTTTCCATCAATTATATAAATATAAATCTTTAAGCAAAATAATTTGATTAAGAAGAGAGAGATATGGAGAACAAGTAGAGTGGTATGATGGTTTTGGTTTTGGTGGTGATGGCTACCATTGGAGGAGAAGCAAGGACGCTTCCATGTGAAGAGACGTGTATAGCATAGAGTTCATTTTAGGTTTAATATTGAACTATAGCATGTAAGATCTTAACTAGGTTTAACTATTTTTATTTTTTCATTTTTCATTTTTTATATATAGTTCTTCCTTTTTATTGTTTCTTTATATATTTTAAATGAATAATACATCTCTCTAATAATATTTGATAGCTATCCCCTACCAAAAAAAATAATATTTGATAGCTATAATAAAATTATTTTATCGTTGGAGATTCAAAAGTATTGATTTTCGACCATCGTACAAAAAAATAGTTTTTATTCTTTACTTTGGATGTTTGTTTAGGTCTTACCAATTCATAATTAGAGTAATCAATATTTTTTTAAATGGAATCAAGAAAGATTTTTTTTCTACTTGCATGCATGCATCTTAAACTCCTAAAAATTGAATACATTAATTAAGAAATAAGAACATATAAATTGAGAACAAACTATACACGTCCACGTGGCAGTCAAAATAATACACGTTCTAACGGTTGATGTTTTGAAACTTTGGTTTTCATCGGTAACCACGTTGAATATAGAAACCGAGACTTCCTCCACCGTCGATTTAACCCCTCCGATGAAAGGATCAACAAGTGATCGGCAAAAAGGACAATATCAATGAGAATGAAACCACATATCAATGCAGTCAACGTGAAATGTGTGTTTGCAGTTTGGCAAAACCCTACCCAAATCGTTATCGTCCCGCATTCGATGGCGGTTTGTGTGGTTGCGGCGGAGAACGTGAAACTGGGAAGAGATTTGATGACGAAAGGGTTAAAACCACTATGAGTGGTGGCAATTGCGGTGGAGGAAGTTTCATCCAAAAAGGTAATCGTTACAATGATGTGACGACTGAGAATAGAGCGGTGAGAGTAGAAGTAGAGAGAAACCATGAAAACCACAATTAAAAAAGACTATGACATTGTGGTGAGCATGATTTTGCTGTTTATGGCGAAGCTATTTGGATCAGAATTGGTATCAGGTGTGCTCAATGGATTAGGGTCGCATAAACTCACAATTTCAGCTACTTTTCTCTTAATTTTCTCTTGAATTATTTTAAGTTTTATTAAAATCTAAAGATTATTGGAACTAATCTCACTCCCATCAATATAGCTCTGCCACTGGTTTATAAATCCACACTATGTGTGGCTTACTTCATAATTTTTTTTATTTTATTATTAGAAATACCAACTAAATTTGATTTTTTTTTTCAGTTGTGAGATTTGGTCTTTAATTACCCCAATAGAAAAGCTTCTTGGTGTAATATGAAATTGTCAAGGAGGGTGGAAATAATGCAAAAAACACCCAAAAACAGAGTGGTTATGAATAAGGGAACTTATTGTACTAAAAAATGATTGATGATGCTCATTTACTCTATAAGCATTTTAGTGGTCTGACATTGTGGGTGTGAAAGGTTATTTATTGAGAATTTTCAAGAGATATAGCTTTGTAATTCATCTAACCTAATAAAGGACATAGTTATCGATTAAGAATTGGCTAAAGTCAATTATATTTGATTATTTGATTATAAAATGAAAAAAATGTTTCCATAACACGTAACGTATAAAGAATGTACTTTTTTGTCAACTAAAGAATGTATTTATTACTAAATAATATAATCTTATCGGGTCTAATTGACATGGTTATATACATGAAAACTAAATATATGTTACCAAAATATTATTATCAATTTTGAATTAATCAAGAAAGTACAATAAATAAGAACCCTTTATCCTAGGTTCATATAAAAATTTACACATTAATAATATAAATAATATTATATATATATATATATATGCCTAATAAATTTCCCATGTTATGAAACAGCTTCTCAAGCGCATCAAGTTTGTTATATCACGTACCCATACATAAAATAACCGAAACAGTTGTGGCTTAATGTTCTTAAAGTTAATCGTAGGGGAAACATTGACGGAGAATACGAAGAAAAAGAACCGACTCTTTTGCAAACAGAAAATGATGATGATGTACTAATGACTACAATTGAAGACCTCATAGTTGACAATTTGGATGTGGGAGGTGCAATCAACCTAGTTTATGAGGTCGGGGATGCGGAACCTCAAGATGAATTCCAGTGTAATTTATCTTCTTCAGATGATGAAGAACCAAAAGATGAAGAACTCGTTTAACTATGTCATACTTATGCACATGAAATTTAAAATTTGGCGTAAACCGATAAATCAAATGAAATTTTATAACAACTCAAAATTTGGCATAAACCGATTTGGTATAATTTAAACTGGTAAACCAAACCAACTAAATTCAGATTTTGTATAAAGCTACTGAATAGCGAGTACATAACGACTAAATTTAACACGATGGGCTACGCAAACCAACTATAGTCTGCCCAATAAGAAAAAGCCCAATAGACAATTTAGCGACTATGTAGCGACGATTTTGCGACTACTCCCAGCCCGATAAGAGAAAGCCCAATAAACCTTTCCTCAATCGACAAAAGCAAAATCATTTCTTCTTCTTCGATCATTAACCATAGCCACCACCTTTTCTCTCTACTTCTTCGATCCTTAATCTTCTCCAACTCCAACCATGCGATCTTCTTCTTCTGCTTCTTCAACCCTACTGTTCTTTGAACCCTTGTCTTCTTTGATTCAAACCTTGCGAATCACTTTAATCAAACTCTACGAATCTCTTCTTCTTCGATCTTCATCTTCATCTAATTTTTTCTGTTCGAAGCAATATGTCTACACCAAAGAATAAAGAAAGAAAACAAAGAGTTCCCAACATTTCACAGAGACCTAGAGGCTCTAACCCCCCCCCCCCAACACCGCAGGCAGGCGAAACAGCCCTCTACCTCCACAGTACAATTTCTCAGCCTCAAACTCCGCAAGAGCCGATTCGGGAGGAGCCCCAAGCGTCACCATCAGCAACGCCCCATTTCCGGAACTTCCCACCGCCACAGTCGTTGTTTCAGATCTCCGTGAATGAAGTCCGTCGAGACCAGCCGACTCGTTCATCATTGGAAGTGCAGACCAGTCGAGGTTTTCAACCACAAGATCACGTGCATGATCCTCCAGAGTCTCCAGTTCAACACTCTCATGTCCCAAGTCATCTGTCGTCTCAAGGGCACAACTTCGAACCTGATCCCATGTTACCAGAACTCTAGGAGGACATCGTAAGGGCTCTGAATTTCTTGCTTTCAGTGCCAGGCAGAGAGAGGTTCACATCTGTTCTCAGTGAACCAGAGCTGCCTAGAACGAGTTGGTAAGACCCTTTTTCTTATGCAGCCAATAGTTAGAAAGTATGATGCTTAGGTAATTGGTTGTGTTGATGGATACATGTCTTAAACGTATTATAATGGCTAAGTCTTTAATGCTTAATCAATGTCACACTCTATTGAGTTTCTTAAGCTTCAGCATATTGTCTTTTCTGACATTGTTAATGTCTCTAGTCAGGAAATGGTAATGTCTCAAGGGTTATGTCATGTTTTTGAGGTGTCTCGTGGGTAAAGTCAATCGCTTGGAAAATGCATAATCTAATGCTTAGTGATGCTTGATGTTTGAGATTGTTCTTTCATAATGCATAATCTGAATGTTTTTTTTATGTTGTCTCTCATGTATATTCGGATTATTAATGTATTGAGTATGTTTAGTTTTGGTGTTGATTCATATTTTTCTTTTGGTTTGAGTTTTAAAACTTCTATATATACCAAAATTAATTGTATTTACTCCTTCTTTGTCGGTATCTTACATGGAGGTTTGATCGGGATCCAAAACTGGTGCGGATGATTACCAAAGTACTTACCAACAAGTTTAATGGTCCCTTCTATAGCTGGTCCTGTGTGCCACAGGACAGAAGAGAAAGGTACATTATAGAGTTTGCGGTAAGTTTTCTGACATATAGTTACTTATTTGCCATGCTTTTTTCCTTGTGCACTAACACAAATAATTTCTCTTTCTTTCATAGAAAACCCACACTTGGGATCCTTTGATTATAGGGACGGTTCAAAAAAAGTTTGAGAAGGTCTGTCAACGCCGGATAAAGGATATGGTTAGCAATGTGAGGACAAGTCGTGAACGACCAACTTGGATCGTCGACACTCTCTGGTAAGTTATGGTTGCTCACTGGGATACAGATGGAGCACAGCAAAGAAGTCTCACCTATTTTAAGGCTCGTATGTCTGACTGTGATGGTCTCGGTCCTCACATCTATTTATCTGGCCCAAAGTCGTATCAACAGATACAAACAGAAATGGTTAGTAACTTTTATTGTCAATATATTTATTTTTGTATTTCCTTTGCCAGCCTTGAAACAGTTTCATAACCCTTCTTTATTTCTAACATTTCAGGAAGACAAAATTGGAAGAATTGTCAGTCTTGGTGAGGTTTTCATCAAAACACATACAAAGTCAGAGGGAATGTATGTTGATTGGAAGGCAGAGATAATCGCGCATAATTGTGAGAAGAACTTGCAAGCGAAGTTGGATGAGCTTGAGGTAGATTCTTCAGCGGTTTCAGACGGTGCTTCACAACCTTGGGAACTCACGGCAGATGAATATACTGCCATATTTCTTCAGGTTAAGTGACATCTGAAACTATACTCATTTATAGTATGAATTGGATGAATCAGTTTTGCCTATATTAAGCGTTTTCCTTTCTCCTTTCTTTCACAGTCCACTGAGAAGGATTCCCAAGGTAATTATTATGGAGTTGGCAGCCTCAAAGACAATCTTGGGGTTCTTGGCAAGCGCAAGCGACCATACCAGTCATTCATGGCATTGCAAGAGCAACTAGAGGAAGCTCAACACAAGATCGAGGAGCAGACTACTCTTAATTCTCAGGCTGCTGCCAGAGAAGTTGACATATCCCTAGTTGTATCTCAGCAAAAGGACAACATCAACAAGCTGGAAAAGTTCTTGCGCCATTCTAATCCGGCATTCGTGGATTTTTTGGTGACTGAATCAGCTGAGGCAACAACCACGGATCCTCTCACAACCAATCTACCTGCAACAGCTCCACAATCAACTCCACCATCAACTTCTTAGGTTACTAATCCATCACTCTTTGTTTCTAAACTCATGAACTTGTCAGTTTTCAGTTTTTGTATGTTTGATGAATTGTGTTTTATGACTTGTGTTTTATAACTTGTTTCTAAAAATATTGGTAATGTTTTAGTGATTCTGAATATATTGGTTATGTTTACATTGTGAATATGTGGGTTTTAAGTTCAGTTTGATTCATTTTGCAAAAACAAAACCCAGGAAACATTTCAAATCGTAAAACCATTACACTTTTTTTACGAAAAATATAGTCGCTACTTAGTCGGAAATTAGTCATCTAATAGTCGCAAAATGGTAGCCAAACATTGGATAAAAAATAAGTATGTAGTCGCCAAATAGTCGTTAAAATAGTTACGACTGTTTTACGACTACGCCATAACGTAAAAGTAACCAAAACGTGGTCTTAAACTAGTCGCAAATGTTTACGACTATGTTACGACTGCAAATAAATAGTCGTCATTAAGTCGTAACGCAATCGTAAATGTTTACGATTACGTTATGATAACATTTACAATTACATAAATTAGTCGTAAGATAGTCGTAAACCAACATTTACTATGTTGCGACTATTTGTATTAGCGACTAAAGATTTACGACTACGCAAAGTAGTCGTAAAATAGTCGTAAACCATGATTTAGCGAGTCACTAAAAGCCTGTTTTCTTGTAGTAATTTGCATCAATACACAAAATCTCCTTCCTTCTTTGTTTGTGTGCGTGTTTAAGGCTCTTACTAACATCAAGAAGATCCCAAGACACTCAACATATCCTCCAAAACCGTCCAGATACAAGCACAATCATATATCACTTCTTTGGCCAAGGATTCCACCATAAAGACTCCAACAACTAGTTTTTGATCACATATCTTATTTCTTTATTTAGATTTTAGAACGTTGTACTTAGCCCTATATAAGCTGATCATTAGTCACATTTTAAAGACAACCTTGATCAATTTAAAGTAATACAAAGTCTTATTCTTGTCAAAGTTTGAGTCTTTGTCATTGTTCTTCTTTAGTTCTTTATCAGTGAGTCACTTAGTGCTTTAGAAACCTGCGGATTAAGTTTTTTTAGTGATTCACCATCCTTCATTTGTTCATTGATCGAGTGAATCGATTATCCCACTTATTGAGCGAGTCAATCACCTGAACCATCCCCTGTACCACCCCTTAATTCAAAAGAGAGTGCTTTAGAGCCAGCTCGTGAGCCACCTTCCGCAATCTAAGCTTGGAGTCTCTTGATCATTAAGTGACCTAAAGTTGGAGTGATTCAAATCTTGTATCAAATATATTTCAAAATTATTAGTTACAACAGCAATGTGTACTTCTTCATCTATTGCAACACCAGTTCCACAACAGCGAGAAAACACCAAATTAATCTATTGCCTTTGAAAATCCAAAATATTTTCGAAACCTTGCAAGAAAGTTGTAGTTTTTTTACTCAGGAAAAAGTCAAAAAAATCCCCAACTTTCAAATTGTGGACGAAAAAATCATGAACTTTCGAAATGTTATTTAAATCCTAAAGTTTTGTTTGACTTTCAAATAAAATGAACAAGTTTCATTGACTTGGCCATTTCGGGCATGACGTTAGATTTTCGTTAACAGAGTTAACTTTCTGTTAGAGGTTCCGTTTCCCTTCTGTTAAACTCCAAGTCAAACTCCAAAACGACGTCGTTTCATTAAATAAAAATTAAACACCAATTGAAGCCTCAAAGAATCGAACTCATGAGCCATAGGCCTTTCATCAAACAATAAAGCATTGAGCCACGATAACATTTCACTCCAAGTACAAACAAAACATATATATACACATATATACACATAGACATATATCACATATATATGCAATTAATTAAAAATAAAAAATAATAATTTATTAAATAGAAATCCAATAATTACGTTAAAATACAATAATAATTATTAAATTTAAAATAAATATTATACACAATAATTATTATTTAAAATAACAAAACTAAAACAATATGAAATACAAAAATCAAATTATTAAATAAAGCAATGAATGATATTTTACGACTAATAAACCAAAAACTAAGAGAGATTACATTTATTAGATGCCAATATATATATGTCATTCCTACCAAATATATACATATATATATATATATATATATATGTCATTATTGTGAATGTTTATTTTTATTTTAATCATAATTTTTGTATTTAATCATAATTTTATATTTAGTATTTGTTTAGTTTAAATTTTTAATAATATTTGTTTCTTTTATGCATATAAAAATAATTTTAAAATTTAAAGAATCAAATCAACCATTGAGATTTTTAGTTTTTTATTTTTAAATGAATGCGTTGTCCATATATAAAATTTGTTTACCATAATAAAGAAATGTTATTATGGCTCAGTGGATTAGTGTGTGTGAGAAAATGTGCCAAGATCACCAGTTCAATCCTTCATGGAAGCATTTATTTTAATGAAATGAAGTAGTTTTGAAAAGTAACAAAACGACGTCGTTTTGGTTGAACGGAAATTCTAACAGAAAGTTAACTCTGCTACTGGAAATTTAACGTCATGTCCAAAATGGCCAAGTCAATGAAACTTGTTCATTTTATCCGAAAGTCAAACAAAACTTTAGGATTTAAATGACATTTCAAAAGTTTATGATTTTTTCATCTATAATTTGAAAGTTGGAGATTTGTTTTGACATTTTTCCCTTTTTTACTCTCACAAGGCCAAATCTGTACTTCTCTGTCAATTATGTATGTCAGAAGATGCATGCTCCTTCTGTCTCCGACTTTCAGATACTGGAGAAGATTTTTAGGTATATAAAAGGCATTATCCCCATGGGAATCTCACTTACAAAATGTACATATACCAAGCTTCGAACCTATAGCGACATTTATCATGTAGGATGTTAGGCTACTTGACGTTCAACAGGTGGTTTCTGCACTTTTCTAGGCAACAACATTAATTCTTGGTCTTCGAAGAAACAACCAACAGTCTCCAAAAGCTCAACAAAAGCAGAATACAGAGCAATGTCTGAAGTTGCCTCAAAAATCACTTGGTTAGTTAATCTCCTTAAGGGTCTTGTTGTTCCTCAATCTGAAGTCCATGAGCTCTTCTGTGACAACCTTTCAACTGTTTTCCTCACGGCCAATCCAAGCTTCCTTGATGATATGGTTTTCATGAATGATTTGTGCCCCCATGGGAAAGATCAAAAGAATTTAACGTTTGCCAACTATAAACAAAAGTGCTAGCCAAAGTTTCTTATCCATACATTTGCTTGGATATTATTTGTCTACCTAGAAGAGCATGAATCAACTTGCATGATATGGGACACTCGCTAACCCATAAACTGAATAACGACCCAAGGGGTGAATCCAATATGGTGTTGAGTTCCTCCGCTCCTTCCAATACACTAATTATGACAATTAGCATATCTAGCTTTGAATACATGTTCAACCACGCGTAGGGATACCGTTTGTCGCAAAAAGCCGAGATGGGAGTCGATTATCCCAATTCTGAGTAGTCTACTTTACAACATCTAAAATCTGAAGATGGTTGGCAGCCGGCAGATGAACTGACAAAAGTTTGAAATAACTATTTATGCAGTGGTTACCTGGCATCGAGACGTTGGAAAAAATGGCGTGGATGCGAGAAATCTCTAAATAAATGGCGAGGAGAGGACGGGGTAAACAATTCTTGGAGATCCTTCTATACAGAAGACTTGAAGTCGAGGTTTACGATCAAGCACCCCCAAGAGCTGTTTTGTGTTTGGAAGGGTTGTCTGAAATGGGACGAAAATAAAACACTAAATGAATCACAAGTTTGGTAGAATTTTAATACAAAATATTGCTCATAAACAAAACGTTACCTCTCTTTCTCTCTCGTTTACCTGCGTAAACCTAGTCGGCTGCCAAAGCTTGTGACCGGGCGTGGTGGCTTACACAGCGCCAGCGTCGGTCACCTCTTTTGTTTTCTTGTCTAGCTTTTCAATTCCAGTTTAGTAGTTTTGGAAGTGTGGAAGTTCTCGGCGTGGTGAATACCAAAGTTTTGAGTCTCGGATCTGTTGCGTTTTGGTCGGGGAATGCAGATCTAATGGTTCTGATGGTCGATGGTTTGATGGGGGTTGCTGATCCAGCTTCCTAGCCTCGAAGTGGAGTCACGGCTAGCTTTTGTTCTGACCAGTGGTTCACCTCTTTGAGTCAAAGCCTCCCATGGAGGTTCTAGCATCCCTCCTCGACGGTTTGTTTCTCTTTGTACCTCGACGAATATGTGCAACATCGGATTGATTCTCTTTTAACTCGGTATCTCCCTTCGTCTCCACTGTTTCATGTTCGCCTAGTTGCTCTGCAAAGTATATCTCTTAGATGCTAGATTTTAGATGGCCTTGGATGGTCCGAGATCAGATTTAGTAGCCTTCAATTGGGTTGTCTTTATGTGTTGATTCGATTGTTGATGGTTTGTGTTGGTGGTGTCTTTGGAGTGCTCATATCAGCTGCTCATGTGCTTCTCACTGTTTCTAAGCCCCTAAATCTCAAGCTGTCTCCTCGTCTCAGCTTTGGATTTCCTTTGGATTTGTTTCCCTTCTAATCAGAGGTTTCGTTTTGTTTGAACGTGATGGTAGAATCTGAAGTTTGCTGTGTTCCTTCTTCTTGTTGTTGTTCTTTGTGGGTGTTAGTTCTCTTGCTATCTCGTCGATCTCAGTCTTGTGATTGGTGTGCTTGTAGAGTTAGACCTCGCTTCTTGCGTTTTTGAAGACTTCTAGTTTGACGTTCCTTGGCGTATCAACGTCGTCGTCGCTGTCGGAAGTAAGTGGTTTGCTTGCCGTGTTTTGAAGTCCCTGGTTACTGGTTTCGAGAGATTGGCTCTCAACGTGGTAGGAGGTGGTAGATGTTATCCTTGAATTGGCCTTGGGCATTCAGGGTAAATCTCATTCGATTGTGCTTCAAATGAAGAGGACCTTTGTTTCTCGGTTTTATTGTTTCTCTTAAGGCGTTTCGCCGGTTGCCTCTGTTTTTAGAATCTGGTTTCGTCTCCCTTTTGATTTGGTTTGAAAATTTCTCTTCTATTTGTTGTTTTTCTTTGGTTTCCAGAGAAATTTCTATTTCTGCCGGCTTTGACTCCGGGAACAT